ATATATATATGTACTCCCATGTACCTTTATGTGCATCAGTAAATTTCTCTTTAGTATGAATGTTTCAACTTGAAAATGTGTCATTATTCTTTTGCACATATTTAAGATAATGTTACTAAATACTATATAATCCAGATTATATTTTGCAAATACAAGCAGAAATAGGAGACATTAAGTATCTTTTCGCTGGTTTTTCTAGTGTTGAGATTTTGAAAGTGTTGGACTTTTGTAGTCAGAAATTGAATTTTTTTGCATATGAGATAACAAAAGCTAAAACAGAATGAAGCTATATAATCAAGTGTTAAAAACTGTATTATAGGCTAGGCCTGTAATGCTAGCACTCTGGGAGGCCGGGGTGGGAGGATTGCTTGAGCTCAGGAGTTTCAAACCAGCCTGGGCAAGAACGAGACCCCATCTCTACTAAAAACAGAAAAATTAGCTGGGTGTTGTGGTGTACACCTGTAGTCCCAGCTACTAGGAAGGCTGAGGCAGGAGGATCACTTAAGCACAGGAGTTTGAGGTTGCTGTGAGCTACGATGGTGCCACTGCACTCTACCAGGGCAACAGAGTGATAGAATGGAGAGGTCATCACAAGGTTTTCAAGAAGGAAAATGAGGAAAAAGAAGAAGGAAATTTCTAGGTGACAAAAGCACCTTAAAGCAGAAATGAGTTAGGGAGTCAGACTCCAGGCAGGAACTGGGGAGTGCTGCAAAGGATCGGTCAGACTAGATGGCTGCTTTATGTTGTAGAGGGAACTATGGAGAAAGATATAAGGGATGGTCGTGTATTGGATGTACTTCCTTTTCTTTATAGTGGTGCCTGTAACTGGGTGAAGACACAGAGCAGAGATCAGGAGGGATAAAGGGAAGTTACACTTAAACCCTTTATTCTGCAAATAGATTTTCAAGAAATTTTTAAATTTTTTCTTCTTTTTTGAATATTAAGGTACTAATCTTTTGAGCAAGGTTATTACATTTATATTTTGGATTTAACCCTTAGTTTTATGATGAGATATGAAAGGGAATTTTTCTAAGGAGATATCAAAGGATGGACTAAAGGTAGAGAATTGTGGTGCATCTGGGGAAAACAATAAAAAACTTTTTGGACCCCATGAGCATCTGACCTGGATTTTAGGACTAAACTTCCAAGTACTAATCTTAAAATGGAGATGACATATATATACACACACACACACATATATTTTTTTCCTATTCATTTTGCCCAAGGCACTTGGCCTAAAGGCCATAATGATGAGCTACTAGAAGTAACTGAATAAGAAAGTGGGTCAGGTGCTTTGGGAAATTTTATACACACACACACACACACACACACACACACACATAAATAAATATGTGTACACGCACTTAATTACATACTTACATCATACACACTCTCTTAATAGAGAGAGTGCTAATCATTAAATCTGGTACTGATGAAACTGCCTATCTACAAAATGCTGGTGGAAAGCGAGAAATAAACACAGTGTTTCTAGGGTCTCTATTAAATGATGGAGGGAATGGGGAAAACGGAAGGAGAAAAAAGAAAATCAATAGTCTGCCTCTGATTGTGTGACTAAATCTTCTAGACAAGAAGGTGCCTGAGCTGAGCTAACTTAGTTTAGAGAGCACAGTAAATCTCCACAAGACTAAATCCATCCCATCAAAACTAACCTCCGAACAAATTAAATCCCAACATCCCACTGCTCTCCTGATGTCACTAGATTCCACACTATCCTGTCATCACATTCCACATTCTCCTCTGTTGCTAGGTACCCTGGGCACTCTCATTTTCCAAAGCTTCAGGTGCTGTTTTTGCTTGAGACTCAAATACAGTCTTTGGTTCAAAGGCTATGGTACCCAGGCTGAAACCTTGAGAGAAGAATTATCACCCTGGGCCAGTAAACCTGGAGGCTATACCCACAGATCTAAATACCTTCTGTGTAGCGGCCACTCAGGATGGACCAAACTATGTTGGGTAAGGAAGCAGATTACCCCTTTAAAGAGATGAACTGAGATGAATTGGTTACGATAAATAAGAGTCTGCGGTCTGTGACTTTAAATTCTAAAGAAGTATCTTTAAGGAAGAGAGAATAAAAACTATTAACATGGTTACATAAAACTCAGCAATATAAAATTGTTAATTTATCCTCAGTTGAATGTTTGCTCACTGCTCTATGTTGGATTTTTAAAATAGAGACATCAAAAACTTTGTTTTAAATTTGGATTTATAAAACAGTGTCATGAGACATTATTTTTTTTACCATTTACATTATAAAGCATGTGAGTGAATATATTTATTTTATGTAAATGAGTGAATCATTTATTTATTTTCCGTAAGACACTGATTTTCTTGGGAATGAAATACATAAAGCTGTTGAATTTAGTTACCTTGGTAACATCTGGAGTGAACTACTCCATCTAAAAATATTTTCTGTCTTATTGTTTATATTTTATTGTGAAATTATAAATATACATTTGTTAAAGCTTTTGATAAATGATGTTTATCTTAACTAAAAAATGAATAAATAATATGCTATTTACTAGATATATACCATGATTTCGGATTACAGAAACAGATATAGCGTGTTTAATTTTTAACTGTGATAGAAATTGGATTTGTTTTAGGGTAAAGTAGATTTGGTTTTAAAATGTAATATATGTATTTAGGGTTATTTACTCTAATAACATTGTGAAAGCTTTCTTACATGAAATGTTTAGTATAGTTTTAAAAGGATTTTAGTATATAAATGTTAAATCACTTTTTTAATGAATTAAAAATTCTAGTTGAGTGTATCCATTGTGCTTTTCTTTGGACTTCTTGGAAAAAATAATTTAAGTAATTAGAAATCACCTTTCACATTTTCACGTAAGAATTTGAATTGGCATAAAAGAACATGCACAATTATCTAAATTACTTATATAAATCATCCCCTTAATTCTTTATTTCAAAGCCTTAGACATTTCATTGTTAAAAGAATAATTTTGATTTCTCAAATTAATAGCTATGAAAAATGCAATGTCATATTATTTATGGCCAGTTCCCTAAATTTTCCCACGTATTTTTTTCTCACCATATGAACTCTTTTTCAATGGGTACATAAAAAGAATAATTTGATATAATTTTGCCATTCGAACACATTTTAACTTTTTCACAAAATAGTTATGGAAAATTGTTTAAAAATATTATTTTATTGAAAATTAAACTCAAATCTAATGCCCTTTGGCTTCCAATTTTTTGCTACAAATCTGAGCTTCATCCTGGATACTTGCCTATCCCGCTACTCATCTTACCTGTTCTATTCTTACATTTTTCTAGTTTTCCCCTCTTTTTCTGCATTGACACTGCTTCAATTTGAGTTTTCCAAGATACCAATTTATATGATTCCTAGATCTCTTAATTGTTCTCCCCACCTTCCAGTTTGTTCCCTTCATACCATTCTACTCATCAGAGTCAGAATAATCTCTTTGAAATAGAATTTTTTCCATGTTACTTCCCACAATAAATTAAAGTTTCTCCTGTTTGCTCTTACGAGAAAATCCAAGCTCTTTGATATACAAAACGCTTCCCTTGGTATTTTCTTTCTACCTTTCTAGGTTTATCTTTCTTCACTCTCTTTTTTTTTTGCACTCAGTGCTCTAATCTTTTCTCACTTGCCATGCATATCTCTTCGTCTGTGACTTTGCACATGCTGATCCCTTTATGCTCTTCCTCAATTTCTACACCTGATTAAGGCTCACTCACCTTTGGAATTCAACTCATATCATCTTCTTTAGGAACCTTCTGTGATCTCTTTACCCTTTGCACTGGCTCACTGCCTTTTTGCTTTGCATTTTCATTGCATGTTTATTTTTCTGTCTCTTTTCATTATCTGTGAACTCATTGAAGGCAGAGTCTCTATAGGCCAGATATTTAGCCCCACATTGGCCACAGAGAAATCACTTAATAAATGTTATTGAATAAATGAATGAATAGGTGAGTTATAGTACTCTTTTAGAATTTAAATATTATTTCCATGAATATAATTGATTAGAAGGCATTAAATATTTCATTGCACTCCACAAAAAAGCATACTTGAAAACAAAAATATTGAATATTATTCCTCTTGCTCATCCATATTTATGTGGTTTCGTTAACAGTTTTTAACTAAAGGAAGCAATTTAATACTTTTGTCTATCATAATTCTTTAAAATTAGTACCAAATTATTATTATATAAGTGAAGATGAAATTAATTGAGAAAAATAGAATGTTATCATTTTATGTAAATTTTATTTGTGTGTTTTCTTTTTACAAAATTGGGATCACACAGGCCACATCCTTTTGTAGCTAGCTTTTTCCACTTAATACTTCATAACTCATGTGACCTCATGCTTTAAAATGAAATATTAAATAACTGTATAATACTCTAACCATTCCAATATTTAGTAATCCAATCTTCTATTTTTGGTCGTTTCTTTCTTTTTTTTTCTATTAAAAACAATACTGGTATAAATGCTTTTTGCCTATGTCTTTTTGCTTACATAGAGATGCACACAATGATGAAACTCCTTAGGCTTCAGAGTCCCAGAATTGTAATGACTGGAGAAAATTGTATGAGCACATTTAATGTTTTGTATAAACACTCATAAAACTTGTGCCAATATACATCCCCACTAGCAGGATAGGTGATGCTCTTTATCTGAGAATTTTCACCAAATCTGCATATTCTCACTGGAAAAAAAAAAACTATTGACAAAATAATTGACAATTATCTTGTTCTCTTTGTTCGATTTATTGTTCTTTGAGATTGCTTTTGAGATTGAACTGTTTTCTCAATTTTTTCTTCTTCTTATCATTTTATTTCACTTCTTGAGCCTAAAAGTACATACTAGATTAAAAATAACTATAGCTGCTTCACAAGTTTATTGCTAAGGTTAAACTACATATTATAAGTAAAATTAATAGGCACAATGCCATGCACATAAGAGCTCAATAAATGCTAGTCGACGTAGAAACTGAATAGCATATTAATTCAAACCAAAATATAATTTTTTTCCCAACAGATGATTCTGCTGCGGAGAGTTTTAATGGCAATGAGACTCTGGGGCACAGTGCAATTGCTTCAGGGGGAACGCATAGCAGGGACATGGGAGACTCCAACAGTGATGGCAAAACTGGGCTGGAGCAGGAGGAACAGCCACTGAACCTGAGTGACAGTCCCCTCTCTGCACAGCTGACTTCGGAATACAGAATAGATGACCACAGCAGTAATGGAAAAAACAAATATAAGAATCTTCTAATTTCGGACCTCAAGATGGAACGAGAGGCGAGAGAAAATGGAAGCAAGGTATGATCTCATTACAGTTTTCAGATAAGTTTTAGGTTGGTTATGAAGATCACGGAGAAAGAGCTATATATAAAGGAAATAAAAATTATTGTCAATAAAAATATTTTAAACAAATCCCAATGACATGTTACCAAGAAACTTATAAAATCTAATTTCAGGGATAACAGTGAGCAAAATGGATCATGTCTCAAAGCAGTTGGTGTTTTTCGATATACAGAATCACTTGATTTAATATTTCTCATTTATATAATCTATTTATGAATCTGTCTCTGGGAATTTGTTGAGCTCAGATGTGAAAATTTCAGTCTCAGTACACAATTTTGGACTGTAAAAAGACCACTATCTAGTTTCTCCCAGATTGGATAGGTGTATGTAGCAATAAAGTCTCAATTACATTTTCCAGGTTGCTTTAGAGACCTGGGGCCTTCAGTCAGTAATTTCCTTCATGAGCACTGAAGAACTATTAGGTGTCAGTGTCCTGGATGAAATCTGTGGATTAAATAACTACTTGAAGAAGTAATTTATCATAAATTATATTATACAAAAGCCAGAAACATGTTTCAAACATATTATCTAAATTTCTAGAGTCTTTATATTACAATAAATTACAACCCCCTCCCATTCCCAATTGATTTATTTTTAAAAATTAAGCTTGAATTTCTGCTTGTTTGAGATAACACATGCTGGTCATTTTTTACTCTATGATTTTTGAAGGTATACTTTGGAACACATGAGGATTTTTATGAAATATACCTTTTGACTCCCTTCCCCCACTCCTACCTCTAAATTAGAGTGGTAGAACTGGATTTTGGACATAGATCCTAACAGCAAAATGTCTTAATCTGGATTAATGTCTGAATTTTCTGAAGTACTACGCTTCCTAAATTGGCTCTATTTAAATCTTCTTGCTTGCCTGAGGGTGTGTCATTTTATCCTCTTTTAAGCCAGTCACTAGACATTAGCAGACACTTAAGCACTTCTGCCTGAGGGAGGCTGCTATGGTAAATGCTCACATATCCTCTTCAGTAGTTTAAAGCCAGATCACACAAACACAAATGCGTTTATATTTGCTAACATGATCTGAATCACTATGTTACATTTTACAGAACAAAATAACCCTTAAGTTTCCTGGCCCTCCACATAACCCTGTCTTTATAAAGCTTAAAAAATCATGAAATATCTTTTTTATGCTATGCGTCTGCGGCATTTTTTTCTAAAATTATTCAATGGTTTGCTTTTCCTTATCCCTCTGCTCGATAGTCTGGGAACTACGCTCATTAAAACACATTCTTGCCCACGTTAAATGAAATGAAGTGACTTTTCTACCTCTAGGAAAATGGAATTATGAAAAGCACAGATTGTTTCTGCTGCCTCTGAGTGTGAAAATGATAAATGGTCCTAGGGGATAAGAAGATACCCCTAAGGCACTTAATGTTTAATGCTTTGGTGAAGGAAGAACAGTTCCCTTAACCAACTAAGAAGTAGCCAGAGTGGCAGAAGAAAAATCAGAAGGGTATAGTATATGGCAAGTAAACAAACTCCACCTTTCAAGGAGGAAGTGGTCGGCACTGATGGACAATGTTTAGAAATCAATAAAGTGAAGATAGAAAATAATTGAATTTGTGAGAGAAATTTTGGTAGCACATAGGGAACATCATCCAGAGGGACTGTTTTTATTCATTTCCTCAAAAAGAGCATATTAAATACCTAGCAGTTATGTAGAATAAACATGTATAAAGATCTAATGAACAATAGGGGGCCTATAGCTAATAATATTGTATTGCATATTGAAAATTTGATGAAAGTAGATTTTAGGTGTTCTTCCCACAGACAAAAAAAGAGGTAACTATGTGGAAGGTGATGGATATGTTAAATTGCTTACCTATAGTAATTATTTCACTATGGATAGTTATATCAAAACATCATGTTGGATACCTTAAATTTATGTAATAAAGAAAGAATACCTGCACAGAGTCCCCCAAAAAAGAAAGAATACCCAGCACACTCACAGCAATGGAGTACGCAACAGAAAACTCACATAAATAACAGTCTTTATCTGTAAGGCCCTGGATATATATCTATATATAGAGATATATAGATATCTGTCTATAGATATATAGACAGATATGTATATATAGAGAGATATCTATATCTAGGTCTAGATCTATCTATCTATATATAAAATTTGGGGAAAGAAGATACATATGCATAGAGAAATTTCTTAGTGCAAGTACAGGCAAGTACTTATTCCCGTGTTAAAACATTAAGTGTTCAAGTAGGGAAATACTATTTCTATTGAAGTACTGGTCAAAACAAGCTTCCTAGAGGAAGTGAGCCTTGACCTTTGAAGGAAATGTAAGATTACCATTTTTTTTCCTCAGAAGGGGTTTCTATTGTGAAGGGCCTGGAATATAGATAGGGACTATGATTTGGTCTAAGGGTAGGGAAACATTGTCCATTCTGAGCTGACTATGGCTTGATAACATGGCATTTGAGGAAGAACCTGACATCATTTTGTACAAGATAAACTTTTTGCCACCAATTAATTTATTCTCCAAGTATTTACTGAAGGATTCCTACATGTAAGGCACTGTTGCAGGATCATTTACAAAAATGTGTAAATGAACAGAGCAGGGTCCTTTTCCTTCAAAGGCTCATAGTCTAGCAGGAAACAGAGATGAAATTCTACTTAGAATCTGATTCTATAAGTGATATGATGGCTATATGGGCAGGGTGAAATGGAAGACCAGACATGGAGTACCCGGGGTTACAGTGATTCTTCAGGATACGGTTATAGACAGATCGATGCCAGAGATGCATGTGGAAGGCCAAGTAGGAGTTATTCTGATAGGAAGGATTATTTATGGTAGAGGATTAAGCATGTTTTGAGTCATAGAGCCATGATAGAGCACACCTGGCATGGAGATTTGCAAGGAACTTAGCATGTCCTCAGCAGAGAATATGTGTGGATGCATGAAGTATAAATAGACTTCATTGTGTCCAGTAGGTAGAGTTTAGCATGGTAAGGTTGTGGTCAGCTTGGAATTTTAGAAAGAGTATTCTGGCAACATTGTAGTGAATGAATAGAATGAGGACTAGGAAAAATAAAAGACAGAAAACTGGTTAAAGAGCTATTGTGGCACTCCAGGAGGACCAAAATAACAGCTGGAATCAAATAAATGGCAATGGGAATGGAAAACAGAGACTTAGTAAAAAAAAAAATATTGAACATGTTACTTTTGTTCTTTTGACATTATATTTGCATGACGACCTATATAACTTCCATAGGTTGTATGTTGCCAGACTCCTGGATGTGCCTTTCATGTAGATTGTAATGTGACTGGCCTCTTTAGCTCTCTATATTCTGCTTGTATGTACACCCTGTGAATGTAAGAATAATGTTTAGCTTGCTTATTGTAGTATACCTAGCACCTGGCTTAATATTTGGCACATAGTATTTTCTGAATATTTTGAAAAAATACATAATGGTTTATTGAATGTAGGAAGCAAGACATAGAAGAACATTCTAGAATGACTCCAAGATTTTTGGCTTGGTTGCCTGAGTGAATGATTAATCCATTTACCAAGATGCAGATTGAGAAACATTTAAAGAAGCAGGTTTTGACATGTAAGGTTTAGAGTGTCCATGCTATGTCCATTGCATATGTTTAATAGGCATTGGGGGTATATGTGCTGGCTCAGAAGAAAGGTACAGATCGAATAGAGAGACATTTGAAAGATTTCAGAGCAGAAATGCTGCTTGAAGCCATTGTAGTTGATAAGATCATCTTGGGAGAGCATAGAGCGAGGAGAGAATCAAAATACGTCATCATATGCAATACTAGCCCATTAGGAACAAGTGGCATAAAAGGAGTTTGTGGAGGAAAAAGTACCCAGGAAGAAAATGAAGGCAGCCAGATAAGAAGGAGATATTGTAGAAGCCAAACTATAGGGCATTTCAATATTGATGTAAATGATTAAGTGATCCGTTGGTGAAGAGACATAGAATGGTGGTTAGGAGAGTGAATGTTAACTGTTGGATTCAAAACATATGGGCAAAGAGTTAGCAGAACTAGTGGGAAATACGATGAAAGAGAGTTATAGAGGCTGAGATAAGAAAGCTGGATCATTTTGATTGTGAAAGAAACTGTGTCTGTAATTTTGCTTTAGGGATTCTTTCTGTATTCTGAATCCATATATAGAGTGCTTTAGGCTTTGGATCAACATTTGTTTTCCCCCAAGGCTATCAGATGAACTTCATACTGAAGTTTGTTCAATCAGCACTTCCTTTTGTAGTCCTTAGAAATGTTTCATCACTTCCGTGCAACCTCATGAAGTGACGCTAACATCAATTTCTTGTAGGGATATAAAAGCTTAATTATATAGAATCTCTGAAAAGCTTAGATTCCTGTGAGTTTAATGTTGACCTGTTTCAGTGTTATTGTGAATAAAATAAAATAAAATGATTATAAAGCATTTAAAAATGAATAGTGAATAGAAATGCTTAAAAGGGGTAGCTGAGTTGGACTATGCCATTTATTGATTGCTTATTATTACGCAAATTCACTCAGTAGACTAGCAGGGAATCACACTAACCAATCTAGAGACCAAACATGTTGCACAGAAAGAGTTTAGGTGATATTTATTTTCTGCTTGCTGATGGCTACGTTTTAAAAGACAGCTAATAACATTAGAGCTCAGAAGTGAGTAGAAATGATGATAAAGAGCTTAGAAATAAGACCCATAAAGAAATGTTAAGGGACCAGCTATGTAGAAAAAGAAAGGCCAATGAGACACAAATCCAGGTATAGATATGTTTACAATTACTAATCAATGAGAATAGAAACGCAACTAGAATTCTAATGGCAGGAAATGTATAACTTAAAGAAAACTGTATCATTAACTTTTT